GCTGTGGTTCAACTGAATACCAGAAGTATGTAACAGAACAACGAAGAAAATAAGAACTACAAGGAAACTGCTGCTTAAAATGAGAAAAGGTTTTGAACACTTACAGGACATACTAATGACAAGAGAAATATGGGCAAAACAGGAATAACCTACTTAATGAAATTGTGTACATTCCTGGCAGAACAAGGTCAAAGGGGAATGGTAATAGGTCAATAACTGCTTACAGCAACAAAGACAGGAAGTTATGGAGAACGATGATTGTCCACGTCCGGAAGGGACATGGCACATAAAAGAGAAATATATATGTGTATATACTGATGCAATCACGCAGTAATTCCAATTTGTCGTTGTCTGATAAGCGCCTTGTCATTTTGAAATCAGTGACACAGGAAAATAGATAAAAACGTTCGTCCAACTCCCTTCCCCTCTGTTTCTTGCGATCTCATTTCTTGTACAACAGCATGTTTTAATTGATAGCCATTACATTTTCTTCCTTAAGTCAACTTCAATTTGTTCGGAATGAAAGGACGTAGAAAATTTTGACTTGTCACCATGACAGGCTTACAAATTGACAGACAAACACAATGAAAGAATGACAGTCGCACTTTCGCATTTAACTAAATCCATTGATATGATGAAATACCACGTTTGTTGAAAATTTGATTTTGTCTTTTTTTATTTGTTACATTTTTGAAACTCATGAATGTATGACTGTTAACATTTTCATAAATAGATTCATCAGAATATAACACAAAAATCTATTTAAAATTTTGTCTTTTTATTTCATATCTATTTCTATCAATGCATTTTATCCTTTCTTTCATTTCTCTCATTCTCTCAGTTACATTTTCTATTCTTTCTTGTGTCCCTGGGGGCACATTAATCAGATTTGATATCATCAGCAACATTATCGTTACCATAAACATGGGGGAGGATCATGAACATAAGAAGATCTGAAGCAAACATAACTTATTAATGAAAACATTTTAACTGCTTTTATTAATAAAATCTGATTATTCCAGATTAAAATCTCTTATAAAAAGCATTAAAATAATAATAATAATAATAATAATAATAATAATAATAATAATAATAATAATGACGACGACGGCAATGAATTTTAGAAAAATAATACATGTAATTCTTTGGTATTTTACAATTCAAACGGATAACCCAATCCAGGTGATAAGTGTCAAATGTCTTGAATTTATCCAGTTATTGTAGACACGAGAAGGACAATCTATCAAAGAGTAGATGTGGCCTTTCTGATAGGGTTTAGTATGAACCTGAATAAGAAATTTTAAAAATGCTAAGAACTTGCTAGATAGCTGTTGGTTTTGTAGAAGATGTGAATTTAAAGTCACGATTATAATCTTTGCATCATTCGGAACGATCCTAAACGCCATTTTCAATAAAACTAGAACAATTAGAAATACATAAGGATTGGGATAGTGCAAACAACAGAATTATTGAAGTTATTTAATCTTTCATGCGTAGTAGGAGGAATTAAAGAATGCTATGTTTTGATTCCAATCCTTGGTCACCAGATTCTTCTGTGAATACAATAATAATATTAATATAATGGTTATTTTGTCAAATGATTGATGGAAGTCAATAAATATGCTAACTAAACTGATTTTATTTTTTACTTTGGTTTTATTTTTATTTTTCATATTCTTCTTTTCCTCTTTTTTGATTAGTAACCGTTTTTTTTTTCTCAATTGCATCTCCCTTCAAGACGTAGCTAATCATGGCTTTCCAGGGCTTTCTTTTCTTCAATCAGTGTGAATTGTGGATTATTGGGCAAGATAGTGAAGTGCTTTCTCGTCGGTTTTGGGTTTCAGAGTAGCTAGAGCTGGAGAGCCAATCTACTCTGCTAACAAATAGTTTGTTAGGCGGGTGAGAAGAAATGGATTTATGCATTTCCCAAGGACTTTAGTGTGAAATGAACGGAACTTGAATTCGGTCCACCAATTCCACGTTCTGTGCTGATAATAGTAAAATGGGTCTTAGTACTTTATTTCTTATGATCAACACAAGCACACATTTAGGTATCTACATGAGATCGCTAAAAAAAAGCGCATAAAAAAAGACGTCAAACTTGACGAAAACAAAATTTTATCGCCAAAATGTTTATGTTACTATTAAGAGAAAAGAACAAAGTAATTTTTAATTATTTTTTAAAATTTTTCTGTTTTTATTACAACATTCTAACTTTCGATTGAAAAACCTTGTCATCACCGGAATCTAGTAAAAATAACATGGCGAATTTTTTGTGCATTTTTTTCTTATGACACACATTAATTTTGAAAATCTTGCAAAAATAGGAATAATTGTCAGATTTTAATGAAACTTTCAGAAACTATTCAGGAATAATGGAAATTATTATAAATATGTTATTTTTTTTAAAAGTCATTATAAAAATATATTTTTATATATATATATTACACCCCCATAAATAAATTAATAAAAACTCTAAAAATTTATGGCCGAAGCACGCAAGTCATTATATTAGTTAAAAACACAAGGCTTTGAGGAAAGTAAATAATGTTTTATTTTTTTAAAAATCCGTCCTCGTAAACCTAAAATCAGCTCTGAATTGTAACATACAAAACCCAGTAAAACAAAGATACTATTTAATTTTAAATGTTTTTAGTTGCTTTTATTAGTTTTTATCAATATGCATAATATTGTCTGAAGGCAAAAAACTTTTTCGATGAAAAATGAATTTTTGAATGAATTAAATGTCATTTCATAAATTATTTTATTGTTTTTACATAAAGTTACTAAAAGTTGTTAAATATTCTAAAATTAGCGTTACTGTTCAATCCTTTATATAATGTTTGTTTTAGGTACCCGTATCTGTACAGATTATAAATAGTACAAGGTTTTTACAATCAACGAACCAGCAATGAGAATAATCTTACTGTTCTTTGCCCTATGTGACAAAAAAAAAAAAAAAAAATGTTAAATCAAATGTACGGAGGCCCGGAAGAAACATGATACAATAAAAACATCACGTGACTTGATTTGTACGGCACTGTTAACGGCCTTTACATTGATATAAAATTACTTTAAAAAACTTATAATAATTTCCATCATTCCTGAAACTTTCATTAAAATCTGACAATTATTTCTATTTTTGCAAGATTTTCAAAATTAATGTGTGTCATAAGAAAACAAAATGAACAATATTTGCCATGTTATTTACTAGAGTTTCGGTGATGACGAGAAACAAGATTTTTCAATCAAAAGTTAAAACGTTCTAATAAAGACAGAAAAGTTTTTAAAAATAATTAAAAATTACTTTGTTCTTTCCCCTTAATAGTAACTTGAACATTTTGGTAATAAAATTCTGCTTTCGTCAAGTTTAAGGCTGTTTTTTCATGCTATGCCTACTTAAAAATAACGAGGTAAATAAGTTGTTAACGTAAAGATAAATTGTCACTTATGACCTTCCGTACTATAAATTTCCGCACGTAACATTTTCAGTGCGTGATAAAAAACACGCACATGTCATTATGTCAATCAACACCGCAGTTCAGACCGGCTTTCTCCCATTTGAAAGAACATGTTTTCAACACTGAAAATAAGCAATCATTGTTTCAAAATATATTAAATAAACTTTATAATTTCTAATTTTTTAAAAATTATTTAAAAAATAAATCATAATTGATTTTTTAAATGAATGTTTTGTTTAAAAAAGTTAAAAAAACGGGAGATTATCGATTTTCTGTCAATTTTTCTGATTAAAAAAACATTGAGGATTTTTAACGAAAATTTTGGACGTGCTAGAAATTATTAAAAAATGTAAAAAAATATTCAAAAAATACTTTGATTTTTCCTCTTGAGAATAACATTAATATTTAGACGATAGAAAATTATTTTCATCAAGTTTAAGGCCATTTTTTTTATTCAGGGTATGCTATTTTTTTTATCGATCTCATGAACATACCTAATCCAACATCTCCTCTGCAGATATATGAGCTCTGTAGAACAACATAGGATTTTTAAAATGGGTGAATTGTATGAGCATTCCTGAAATATACATATTCTTAATATTCTAAGATTGTGAATTTCATAAAAAATAATTTCTGAAGTAAATAAAATTATAAAATGTTTCTGTTTAGATATTTTCGGCTTGATTTAAAAAAAAAAATTGCTGGCAAATATTTATCAGCGTCTTCGGCTGACAGAAGAATCCATACAACATATTTGCGTCACTTATCATGTTAACGACACGACATGAATCAGTTTCACTGCCTGCAGCCATAAAAATAGTTTAAATTGGAGAATCAAAAGACAAACACTGTTGTACGCCCATGTCTTTCAAGAAAAGGTGTATTTGCATGCAAGGAATGTCGGACTACGGGGTCATTCCTACATTTCTTTTTCAATTTGTTGTCGTTTCTGTTAACAAAATTAGAAATAGATTTTCGCGCTCAAAAAAACAAAAATTAGAAGAAAGCAGACAACACGGAGAATGAGAAAATATATGCAAAGGAAAATGACATTAATGCAAAATAACCTCTTTAAATAGACTTAAGTAATTTTGTAATGTTATTGGTCCTGTGTGACTGTAGAGCTAAACAAATATCTACTGGCCACTATTGATACTATTCGAAAGGAGATGGGGCATTATTTTTAAAATAGATGCGTGCCCCAAAATGTTTAACAAATTAAACTAAATATCAATCATTTTAATACTTTGTGGTAAATACAATATTCACAGAGATTTCTGAAAATGTTTTTTACAAGTAACCTGTCTTGTGCAGAATAGGAATTTTTAAAAAATATTTCTGTGTATTCTTTTACTAAATTGCAAAGTTCTTTCTTGTCTACAAATCTTACACGGCATTATTTTTATTAGTCATGTTTGCTTTAAGAAAAATGATATTAGTGATATTAGAAATATGATGACTCTAGCTTTTATTTCATTCAGGTAAATGGCCTCATCAAATTTGGTACAATACATATTTCTTCTGCTACATTCGCTTCTAATGACCACGGAAGTGATCAGTGCTACAGTAACGCTGAAGCCAGACAATCTATCATTAATCTGTACAAACCCTGATTATCAATATATTCGGCATCCCCTTGATTGTAGCCGTTGGTTCCATTGCTCTCATGAACAACCTGTTGAGATGCCAGCTTGTGTCGATACGTTCAGCATGATCTCCCTTACTTGTCTCACCAAGCAAAATGAGAACAATGACTGCATCAGTAAGTAAACATTTTCCTTTGAATAAACTCAGGATTTCGTCTGGAATCATTGGAATTACAAACATCGAAAGTTATATTATCTTTATTCTTATTTTTTCTGAGATGCAGTAGTTTCATGAGTAGGCTAAGAAGAAGCGTAATAGTATTTCATTTTTGCACGCTTCGCTGTTAACAAGAAAGGCTAATAGGCCATTCTTATTGAAGTGAGTTATAATCTAAGCGAAGCTTAATAAATATCAATCGTATTTCATTTGAGTGGAGGTGAAACTTTAAAATCTTAATTGTACTAGAGTTATATATATATATATATATATATATATATATATATATATATATATATATATATATATATAGATAGATAGATAGATAGATAGTCCCATCTAAAAAGTATTGGAACGGCAAGGCCAATTCCTTTGTTTTTATTGTTCACCGAAAATATTTGTATTTAAGCTCAAAAGATGAATATAAGACTAGAGTTCAGAATTTTAGCTTTTATTTCTTGGAATTTCCATTTCGATATGTTAAACAGCTTAGGACATACTACCATTTGTATGAGATCACACCATTTTTAGGTGAGCAAAAGTAAAGGAACATATAGTTATAAAGTAAATAACATTTAATATTTGACTGCATAATCCTTGTTTTTAATAACTGCTTTTTCAGACATTTAATGAAGCCACTTTCAGTTCATGTTTGTTTGAGGGATTTTCTTCCTTCACGCTCCTCTTCAAGAGATGAAATGCATACTCTATTGGGTGATTGACTTGGCCAGTCTAAAACTGTCTACGTTTTTTCCCTGATGAAGTCCTTTGTTATGTTGGCAGTAACGCTTTGGGTCATTGTCCTGTTGCATGATAAACTTCCTCCCCCATTAGTCTGGATGCGTTTCTGTGTAAACTGGCAGACAAAATGCTTCTGTATACTTCTGAATCCATTTTTTTGCTACTATCATGAGTTACATCATCAATAAATATGAATGAGCCTGTTCCAAAAGTAGCCATGCAAGACCAAGCCAAAACACTGCCCCGACCATGGTTCACAGATGAGCTTCTATGCTTTGGATCATAAGCAGATCCTTCTTTTCTTCACACTTTGGCCTTTCCGTCGCTTTTGCAGAGATTAATCTTGGTCCATAAAGCTTTCTTCCAGAACTTTTGTCGCTCATCTCTGTACTTCCTTACAAATTTCAATCTGACCTTCCGATTCTTACTATTGATGAGTGGTTTGCATCTTGTAGTATGACCTCTATATTTCTACTCTTTAAGTCTTTTTCGAACGGTGGATTGTGAAATATTCACTCCTGTACCGTGGAGGTTATTGGTGATGTCATTGACATGTTGGGGTTTTCCTCACAGCTCTCACAATGTTTCTGTTATCAACTGATGTTTGTTTCCATTGTTGTTATTCAGTAATTTCTTTCTTTTATAGGACATTCCAAATTTTTGCGTTGGCTATACCCAATGTTTGTTCAACGACTCTGATCGATTTTCTTTCTTCAAAATGGCTTGCTTTTCTTCCATAGACAGCTCTCTAGTTGTTGGTTTATAATTTTTAACAAGAAATGCAGTCTTTACAAGTGAAACTCAAGTCTAAATCCAAGCGTAGTCCTTCAAAGCTATTCAACAATCAATCTAAAACTAAACTTGGGCAACAAGAAACACTTGTCAGTCACGTGTTCTGAACTCCTGTCTCATATTCTTCTTTGATCTTAAACACAAACGTCTTCAGTTAACAACAAAAGCAAAGTAATTGGCCTTGCCAATAGTTTTAGAGGGAACTATATATATATATATATATATATTTATATATATATATATATATATGTATATATGTATGTATGTATGAAAGCCAGACAGACAAACAGATAAAGAAAGAATCTACCAATGAAAAAAAGAAGTGTAAAGAAAAAAGAAAATATGGTGTTAAACGCTACAGGAAGCATGTATATAAGAAACATTATTAGTTTGTTTATATCTAGATATCTGTCTTATTGTCTATATTTCTATATTTTTATTATATCTACTGTGTCCAAATGCTAGGAAAACGATGTGAAGAGAACTATGAAAAAGAAAAGATGAAAGACAGAGTGAAGATGAAGTGTATTTGTCCTTAAATGCGATGAATTCATAATTAGTCAATAATGTTTTTCATCGCGTTTCATAAGTCGACGTTTTTATAACATTCATTAAATCTAACAATATTTTATTTATTTTTAGGTACTTGTATATTCGATGGAAAGCTTCATTATCTTGGAGAAATATTCGTCGGGAGAAATTCGTGTGAAATATGCATTTGCCAAAATAACAGAGGAACTGTAGTCTGCAGCAGTGCTTGCTTAACCAAGGGAGGTAATTCAGACAAAATTCTTCACTCCTTGTCACGATGGATATTTGCTAAAGTTTGCACAATTATTTATAGAGATATGCAGACAGGAAAGAAAAATAATGTATATTATTATTAATAATAGTAATAATCAGGACAGTAGAATATCTATCTATCTATCTATCTATCTATCTATCTATCTATCTATCTATCTATCGGTAAATTTTCATTTTAACACCCGATCGTCATTTACTGCTGAACTAATTTCTTTCAGTAAAGCGATTTTTTTGTACTTAATTTAAGAATAAAGTTAACTTTCAAATATATGTAAACATCGACAAATAAAAGAATAACAAAAGAAAAAAAAAAACACCTAACCCTAATTTGAAAGTTAACTTTTTTCTGTAAAAAAAAAAAAAAAAGAATAACCAAAAAAAAAACAAAAAACACCTAACTCTAATTTGAAAGTTAACTACAAGGAATTACTGTGAAGGGAGTAAATAGGTCCAAATTGTATACGTCCACCGACAGGATTCAGCACTTAATTACTTATCAATAAGGCGGTAAGGGATGACAAAAAGAGCGAGAAGAAGTTCGATGTTTTTCTGGTCGTTAACATCCAAAAAGGTAGGTTTCTTTAATATCTAATTGTTGATTTGAGTTCAGCATATACATTTGCACGGAAATAAGACTATCTTGGAACAATTTGAAGGAATAATAGCGCTCGGGTGTTGAAATGAAAATTTATCTATCTATCTATTGTTATGAACTTGTAGCATATAGGTGAACCACGGATTTAAAAGAGAAAACGTGGGATCTTTTCTCGGTCTTCACTCAGGAATAGAAGCGACACAAGGAAGTCAACGAAGAACAGATTTTAAATAAAAACCTTTATTTATAAATACATAAACAGATAAAGAAAGAAAAAAGAAAATTCATTCAACAAAGTGGAAGGGGACCATGAAAAAACTGAAGGTGGGCGCGAATACATATATATACATAAAAAGGATCAAGCCAAGAAAATCAACTTATCTGTCAGTCGTGTTATTTCTACACAAAATTCTGATTCGCCGAGGCGAGAGTTCTTATGTTAAAACAATATTTTGGTCGGCCGGCATTTTTCCTGGGTTCCTTTTCTTTCGGAAATGTTCGGGGTCCACAGCATATCGTACAGGCGTTTCGTTGGTCGATTCAGTTTCGTCGCAGTCCTTTCATCTCTAGTCGACAGACTTTGCCGTCTTCTTCATTTCAGTGGGCAGTCCGTTTGGAATCCGGATGATTCGCTCAGTTGTGTTCATCTGCCACTGGTCAGACGGAAACTGCCAACCTTTTTTTTTAAATTTTTGCTGTCCCCAAAGATAGTCACGTGGGTTATCTTCGTCCTTGACCAGGTACACAGGAGGATGGGGCGCATATTACGCAGTATTTGCGTTACGGCCAAAAATTCAACCGATTCTCAGTAGGGTCTGATCACGTGAATCGCAGCAGGAGATGCTGATGGTGCCTGGAATTCACTTATGGTCAACCGCCTGATAGCTGCGGGATTTTGGAACCAGGTCATTCTTGCGTCGGGCCCTTGGCTTGTGGGTGGAAGAGGAGGTAAAGAGGGAAAGAATTTGTGAAAAGAGAAGGGTATGGCTGATCATAGGACATATTCGCTCGCAAGTTGAAAGCATTGGATTTTATCTATCTTTATTTATTTATATCTAACTAATTTTCGACTAGAATTTGGGTTTTTTCTTTGGAGTGCTTTTTAGCCTTACGCCTATATGGTTAATAAAATCGTAGGTACGTCACACTATCTCTCTCTCTCCCTCTCTCTCTCTCTCTCTCTCTCTATATATATATATATATATATATATATATATATATATATGTGTGTGTGTGTGTGTTGTGTGTGTGTGCGCGCGCGTGTGTGTGTGTATCGTGTATATTTAGACAGCATATTTTCATTCAAATAGGTTTGGTTAAATAATTTAGATATATGATGATAGTTTTCGTTGTGATTCTTTCATGTTCAGGGATTCAATTTTTGGTAGACGTAGAAAATTGAGTAAGAAACATACCAAAATTTTCTTTCGAATAGCTTTTATATTCCCAAGTACTGACAGAGAGTTGATCTAATAAATAAATAACCCCGCCAACTCTCTGTCAGTGTAGTATCTGTCAAAGTAGCGGAACGCTGGTGTAGTGAATATGTCACCTACCTGTTTCCCTCAGGTCATACATTCGAATCAGAGCAATTGTTAAGTGAACTTCCATGTAAAAGAACAAATAAAGACAAAGTCGAAAGATTTATTGTGATGATAATGCTGAGATCATTTTAACCCATTACTGCTTACTACTGCTTTTTACTACTACTACTACTATTAATAATAATAATAAGTGAAAATTGATTGAATGTTTCTTGACAAATAAGTGATATTACCATTAAACACAATTCTACCTATCTGTGTATATATGCGTGTGTGTGTAATAATTCAAATCTATTAACTCTTACAAAACGAAATGCTCATCCGAATATGTGGTTCCGTTTGCAACCAAACTTAATAGTACTAATTGGCTGTAAAGGAGTATACGCTATTGAATCAGCCTGAACAACATGGCGTCTTCTATATAGCGGTAGCGTGCTTCGAAATTTGTGATTTATTTTACAATTTTTTTCGCATCAGTATATGATCGAATTTCAATACTATAACAACCAGGCATAAAATTATGAATGCCAATTCTCGATTGTCATGGTTAGTTTGAAGTGGAGCAAATTAATGAGGAACTCCGACAGCACTGGCTGCTAATCAGACCTGTCTACAACTAATGGCAATACGTTGTTAGATTTACAATATGTTTTAACTTTTTAGCAAATTTACTACAATTCGGTTTCCATGAGAAAATCAAATATTCGCCAGTAAAATGCCTTTCCACATAGTCTAAACATGGGCATAATCCAATCAGTATATAGCACACAAATTGAACTTAAATTTGAGTTACTTTAAAACTAATAAAATTTAGAAATGAATTCAGTCGAGAAAAGCTCAAGGAAGAATCAGTAGTAAATAAACTTTTATCTCTTTTTTTTTATACGCCAGCAACATGTCCATACAACGGACGCACATATAGAGTCGGTCAGTATTTTATGTACGCTGATGGATGCAACACCTGCCTGTGTGAAGAACAAGGGATAATCAGATGTACAGATATTAATTGTCAAGCCAATAAGGGTAAATACACAAGATTTTGTTTCACTTTTGATGACAAGTGTTCCAATGGATTTAATAAATGCATTTATATTCGGAGTAAGAAACTCCTACAGAAATCTTATATCTTTAATTATTTAAAATGTATTCAAGATAGGTACCATTACTGTTCTCAGTGGCATGGAATGAATATTTGAAATCTCAATTTTGTCATTATTTTTGTACTTTAATCTATACAACCTAAACTTTTAGCCGAATCCCTACAGTTTAATAGACGTATAAATATAGACAAGCACGCTAAAAAAGAATTCCGGTTGTGTTTCAGTGACTTGTTATCACCAGGAAACTATCTACGTGGCAGGTAAAACTTTTCTGCACCTGGATGGCCAACAAACCTGTACATGTAGAGTAGATGGAATTGTCTCTTGTTCTTTTTCACATGTTGAACAGACAGAAGGTAAGTCAATATAAAAAATGAAAATTAAATTTCTTTTACTTTTGATAAATTTAGTTTGGTATTATCTGAAGACAGAAACTACGTGATATTTTTGTCTTTTTTTGTTGTTGTTAGTTTCTCTGCACTTTTATTTTAGTGCAATAACGTATTTACATGTTGATTTTTTGATACTATCTGATTGCTATAGACTTAAATCAACAAATTCTATTCTATTATACATTGAGTGATTCAGACAAGTATCTTCATCTATGTTGCTTTAGTTACATTACATCCACTGTACCTTCCAGCCTGCTTCAGATGACCGAACGGGACAATGGCCTATTGTTACTTAAATTAGTTTTGAATTTCATTCTTCTGGCAAGCACTGAAAGTTACATGTACAGATTCAGTAGAAAAATGAATGAAATAACTAGCTAGAATTTAACTAGATATCTTTTCGTAAAGACAGTAAAACGAGAACTCACTACATCTTTAGATTGAATAAAAATTTCGAATGCAACATTCATTTGAAGAAAGCCGGGGAGTAAAACAGCCAAAAGGTTGTGACTATAACAATCAACATGAAGCTACTGGCCCGAGGAGGGTCGTGTATAATTCATGTTTATAATACATTTATATTTTCAATGTTCTGGGTTATTGTTTTGATACCAGGTCCAGATTTGGAAATATTTTCCTATGCAGTACGTTCAGCTTGCGTTAGCTATTATGAACGATTTTTGTTTTTTGCTATGTCATTGGTTTCATTTTCCGCATGTTTACGTGACAGTTCATGTCTTTTATTTTTTATTGAAATATATTTAGCATGCTAGGTCCTAAATTTGATGCAATTTTGTTGATGTTGGGTTTGTTTTTTATGCTTCGAGTAATTATAGTCAATTTTACTTTTCATGTAACATCGCACCTTTGTGCTATTGGTAAGGATTTGTCTGTATTTAGTGTTTTTTTTCTTTGTGTTGATTAGTGATATCTGATTTTATTGCCAGATAAATGTCACGTTAAACGGCATGACAATGCAGTGGTTGTGAAACCAATATATATGTTCTTTAAATTATTATTTTTAGAGAAGCATTCTCCAAACGGGCAACCAAATTCATAGACAACGTGGATTTGTTGACGTTTTCATTTTTTATTGCGTCGTTGGTTATGATCATGTTTGAGGTTTTTATTTTTTTGTAATAAAAGTTAAATTGTTTTTGCATGTGCATAAACTTGCAAAATTTATAAGTACGATGATCCTACCTGACATTACTATTAAAAGGTCACGTGTTTTAAGGGTTGCCTTACGGAAACAAAAGCCTCATATAAAATTCATTGACTTGCTAGCAATACTGCAATATTTTCAACACATTAGACAGTCAATAGGTCAGAAAAACAATACACCTGGCTTAAAAAATTCCTGTTTACAACATTTTATGGTATAAGCAAGTAATATTTGTTTTAAATAAGATTTAACTTTAAATTTAAAGATACTGCAAGGGAGAGAATGTCAAAGACTGTGACAATGACTATTCAAATCATCGAAGGATATCTATTGAGTGTAAGAATCGTAATGCTCTTTGATTCTAGGATGAACCAGGTGGAATGTGCTGGAAAAAAACAGCTAAAAGATATGCCACTTCCTTCAGAGCCATTGCTATCATTTCTGGATGAGAACACAGGTGAATCAAAACACTTCATCCAGCACATCAGACGCTACAATAACTGTTTTACAAAGATCTCATTTGGAGCCAAAGATACTACATTGCCAGGATGGAAACCAATTTGCAGAATTCAGGGCACGAGCTAGCTTAAAGGTTCGCACGGAGGGCGGATTTTAAGCTAGTATATATATATATATATATATATATATATATATATATATATATATATATATATATATATGTGTGTGTGTGTGTGTGTGTGTGTGTGTGTAATTTCATCTACGCTTACATGAATATAAATAATTTATCTATGCTTAACAAAACTTGTTCCAACTACTTCTAAAACAATAAAAGAATTAATGCAACACAAAATATTCTAAAACTTGAAGGAGGTATTTACACTATCACCTCAATATATATATATATATATATATATATATATATAGAGAGAGAGAGAGAGAGAGAGAGAGTGAGAGAAAGAAAGAGAGAGAGAGATGTGAGTGTGTTTATGTTTGCGTGCGAGTGTGTATGTAGGTGTGGGTGTGTATATCAAGTTGATGGGATTACGCGACTGGAGTGACTACGGGGAATCCTAATCGATACACAGTAAATACAACATAATCCACAGAAAATTTGTACTATGCCCATAATGTAACTAATTCCATTTATATTGTCTCGTGTTAGAAGCTAAGCAGAAAATTAATTTTGAATATGACTTTAAAACTTACCAAGAATAATCACTGCTGTGCGAATGTCAATATTGTCAATATACACATTCGCACAAATGAATTAGTTAGATTCTCCCAAAGCTGTCGTCGTCAGGAAGAACTATGAACGTGTATCAATGGAAATATATCATTTTAATGCCTAATGTCTTAATACAAAAGACTTTATGAATGATAAAGATTCTGAAATATTGGCTATCCTTGAAAACTTCCTTGATGGACATAATGATGACAGAGAATTTTATCCACCAAACTATGCTATCGAAGAAGTCGCCAACAAAGTTACTACCCAAATTGCATTTATATCAGTCCTTGAAGACGTGGAGTAATGCTGCTTCTCAAAGGTACTCTAAATCCTGATAGTGAAATGAAAATCTCTGGGTAACAACCAATCATGTGCCCAGTGTATATAGTGACTATAGGTTGCTTTTGAGAAAAGTTTTCTCTAGGAACATGCTTCTTCTTGGTGACTTCAAGTTCAGAGGAGCCAATTTAATTTCTTTATCCTCAACATGAAAAATTGATAAACCTTAACTTAGATACTGTATTGGGTAACTTGGTGATCACAAAATGGTTCATTTGACTATTAATTGTCCTATTCCCAAGACCAACAAAGAAGAGCATAAAATTTATTTATACAGCAAGGGGTACTATGAGAGTTTCAAGCAAAATTAGCCGATATAGTATGGAGTGTCCTGCAATGATATAGAGATTAATTTGGACAGATTCAAAACAATCCATAGACAATGCTGGACAAATAGATAAGCAAGGTGCCAAATCAATACTTACATTTATTCTTTTAATTTTTTAATTTTCACAGACAAGACAAGTTGTCTGTATAATGAAAAGTGGCACAGAGCAGGCGCAGTGTTCCTCTCCATGGATCATTGCAACCTATGCGAATGCTTGGATGGTGGTCACGTGACTTGCACAACATTCAACTGCTCATCCCCAAGACCACTTTTGTATGAACAAAAAGGCAAGTATTTTTTCTTAATATAACAATTAGGTGGTGATCACAATCGTATGGACTTTTCTTGCTTAGAGGTATTCATAAATCCACAATTTTTATTTATTAATCCGACATTTTATTATTTAAACGCTATTTTTAGTAGATACCCGTATTTGAGTAGACACCCCGTTTATTTAATAAACGGTATATTCCTTATTTTCGTCTATCGGCCTGAATATTCGAGAAATCTTATTAGAAAAAGATTATGCGCTCTCCAGTAGGATTCGAATCTGCGTTCCCGTTGGGGAAGCCGTCATTAGTTCTGACATGCTTTAGACCTCTCGGCCACGACATGCGTCAGTAGTCAATCAAAGTTGAATACGAAACTGAGCAGATATGTTTATTTCGAGGGTTAGGCAAAACATTTACAAAACCATTATTTCGTAATCTTCAGTTCTATGTTCAGATGTCTTCAGATTGCTGAGTTAAACTGATTTGAAGAGTGCAACTCATTTCTGAACATTTCTGTGTAGCATAAAAAATCATAGAAACGTGACGTATTTTTCACACCGACGCATTAACTCTGGTTCACGTTTTAATATTGTGTTAGGGAAACCTTTTTTTTTATCAAGAATATAAATCTGTCTTTAATCCATCTACCGAAACTTGTCTAATCGCAAGAATTGCAGTTAAGCTATTTTGTATTTATATTCATTTACATACTTATATGTTAAAAAAGGCACGAATATATTTACAAGTGTCTCCTCAAAGTAATAATAAATAAGCGGGATCTGGTTACTTTTCTGAAAACTAAGTGACTGATAAACTTTTTTCATACTTGAAGCTTATGGTTGGTTAAAGATGAAAGGATAGTAAACCCAACTGAACCTCCATTTGACCCGTATAACATAGGTTTATTAGTGTATTATATTGGTATTTATAGTAGCGTCAAACATTTGGTTGACCATAAATGTTCAATAGTATACATTGACATTCAAAATTAGAAAATTTTTTTGATTTCTCAGCTTTCAGATAAAAGCTTGTGTACTAGTATTTATATATATATATATATATATATATATATATATATATATATATATATATATTTATATATAATTTTTTTTTTTAATTATCAGACCACGTAACGTGTATATATGATAAAAAAGAATACAGAAGAAGAGAATCGTTCTTTCCTTTGGATGGTTGTACGTATTGCAGGTGTGATCAATACAGACAGGTACAATGTATCTATAATAATTGTCAGTCTACATCAGATACGACGATGGCGACGACATTTTTTTCGGCAACTAAAAATGTCACATATTTCGATAAAAAGCAGCTCATATTGTGTGCACAGTTTCTGTGACATTAGTATAAATTCAAATAATGTGCAGTTTTTTTAAATCTTGATGCATGGAGTAAACTTCTGAAATCACATTTTTTAAAAAGGTACAGGCTTGATTTAAAAAGGTACAGGCTTGATTTAAAAAGGTACAGGCTTGATTTAAAATACCTATATTTTGATTTTGAGAAAGAATGTAATTCACAAAGCAATGAGTTTAATTTTAATCTATTATTTTTAAATTGCTTGGAAAAATTTGATCATTGATATATTATCCTTTGATAATTTCATTTACCCAGTAATAAAATGAAAGAACACCAAATATAAATGCTTACATTTAGATATTATCAAAGTCAAAAAGTATAAACAGTTAATCCAATATTGATACAAGGTTTATTTAGAGCTGATACTATTACTATCTTTAATGTCACTACAGATAGATGGTTCAGTACATTATTAACAATAATGACAGATTTGATTACATTTATTTATTTTATCCTCTTTCGAGTGGTTAGTATGGACTCTTTTTTGTTGATATCAAAGTTGGTTAAAATACAATTATCATTTAACGATTACTCTTCTTATATGTAGCAATATTTAGTATCGCTTATTTATTTAACCAAAATGGGCCAACAAACGAAAGATAAAAATATAAAAACAAACCATATGCAGAAAACAGGAATAATCGGAACATTGAATTAGAAAAGACAGTGGAAAAAGTACATTATGTGCAAAAGTACATTTATCATTTGCCAATATAATCAAAATGTATTTTGTTCTCTTTTTTTGAAGACGTCAAAAGTCTTGTCATTGACTGCTGAAAGATGGAGAACTGTCCATTCATTTACTACCCGCTGTGAAAAAGAATATTTTCGTATGTTCAAACAATAAGGCAACAGTTGGATATTTAATATATTTAAAGTCAATCGGAGTAAGTTATGTTGTTTAATTTCAGGAATCATTTTAGCAAAGCGTCGTCCCATCAAAGCCCAACTTTTTCAATTTTAACGTATAATCTTTATTACTATATGTCCAGTGTTGTAAGTAGCGTAAGTTCAATAATTAGATTCCGTTGAAGAAAAACAACGCTCCAATAAGAGATCTATGAAAAGATAACTAGCCCGAGCGTCACTATTCTTATCAAAATCTTTCAATATAGTTTGAAAGAACATATAGCAGGCAAAATTCTTTATTGCTCGGTTAAGCGAACAACTGAGAAGTACCTTTTTGATCTAGGCTTCACGGTAAAGAAGTCCATCATTTTGATACTCACCGACCTACCAACTGACTAATCTGTCCTTATTATCGCTCCTCCATCTCACCGAACAAGTAGCAATACACTATACTTTTCAGCGAATGTACTGAAGTTAGAGAAGCAAATCAAATTTTAAATTAACAGACGAAATCCCTGTCAGATGTTAAAGTAGTCATCCATAAGAATTTGTACGCAAGTATGGAGAGGTGTATTAGGGAGACACGATGTAGGTAAATGTTTATTAGGGAGACACGGTGTAGGCAAATGTTAAGTCATACGCGGAGCAGAATCTCTCATATCTAATACACTGTTTCTGCAAAATTAAGAAACTAAAATTAAAACATGGATTCTTCCGTTCCAAGAGTTAATAGCTCGTTGATGACAATATTGTGAGATGAAATGACATACAAGATATATATTCCTAGTGCTGAATATCATCGGCTTGACTTTTGCAAACTGAGTCTCCATCTCAAGTCAAACTCAAGCAGAAATGGGACACCCGTGAAGATCTTCAGGATCAGCTATCTCTTAAATAAAAGACCAAAACAGATTTCTAAGAGAACTTTCAAGTGAAACTGGAAGCGGACCACTGTCAAAAGGAAAATATCGCAACTTGTTTAATGAAAATAACCATAAAATTCAGAAGCTCCTCTCTAT